GATATGCCGAGGCCACGACCGCCTAGATCTGCCCTTGTCTACCCGTTCTATTCATCGTACCTTTGAGGACCGAGAGGGGCCTGAGCTTGGCAGTCCTGAGGAGCGGCTACAAGATAGTAGCGATCCTGATACCGGCAGTGAGGAGGAGAGCTGTTGTAGTCGGCTGACCCCACCACATAGCCCCCGAGGTGAGTCTCTGAAAGGCCACAGTGCAGGTAGTCGGAACATGAAGATAATAGGGGACAGGGTGGGGGACTCCCTTCATTTCTGTCTCTGATCCGTTACGGGTTCTCTGACTGCCTCCGCTCACTCATAGCTCCTAGAATGGTAGTGCTTAGCTTAGGATAATTCTGCTGAATGCACAAGATCGCTGGGGGTAGGGGCAGGCTGGTCTTCCTGTTTTGTCCAGTGCTTATTGGATAGGGGTACTCTGGGAGGCAAGTTTCCTGTTTTATCTGTGATTGGTTGACCACAGGGCCTCCCAAGAGGCAGGAAAGTTGGAGGTGGTGGGTATTTCCATTCTGGGCCGCTGCTCATTGGTCACCCTCTCTCTTTGCAGATTTCCCCCGAATGCAGGACATCCCAGAGGAGAGCGAGAGTCGAGATGGAGAACCTATTGCCTCAGAAAGTTAAAGGGGCTCTTTCCCCCCTTTCTGATCCCCTCCAGGGCTATTACTGGAGGAAGAAGAGTTGGGGGAGTAGTGTTTGGATGTCCATATTACATAGGTGAAGGGGACACCTAATAGAACTGCTGACTGTTGTGTGTCCCCCACCCCCTCACCCCAGAACCTCCCACCTCAGGGAGAGTGAGGTTGCTTGAGGGGGTCAGAAAGCTGTGGGATATGCCCTCCAGTGGCATCCACAAGCAGCACCACAGATGCCAATTTTTCAGACCCCACCCTCACCCCCCCCATCTGGAAAGATTTATTTATTTATTATTAGGTGGGTGGGAGGGAGGGACTTAAAGGACCAGGGATAAGGGAACCAAGCCATAAAGGGACAGAAAACTGGCCCTTTAACACTACTGGGGGAGGGGGGGAGGGAAGACCAACCAGGGGTTAACCCTTCAGTTACTGGACTACAGCCCAGCACCCCTCACCCTCTTACTTAAGTGGGGGCCAAAATTACCAGAACCCTTCTGCCCTTTAAAAAGGGATATGGACAGGGCAAGTGTCCCTCCCACTACAGACCTCCTAATGCTGCTCATTCCAGCCTCCATTGTAGCCCTTGGAGGGGTCCAGATGTCTAGGAACCCTGAGTGGTCTGGCCTGGAGATTGGGGTGGGACCAGTGGTAATGGTGGGAGATCCATTGGGACCACAGTGTTTTGGTGTTTGTTTGTTTTTTTATTTTGTTTTTTGTACCAAAGCTGACTGCACGTGTTTTATATTTTTAAGAGAAGATCATAGGCAATTAGAGATGTCTGACTCCAACTACCCCATGTCTCAGAAGAAACTTGGGGGTGAGGTTGGGCAACAATACTTGCTCATCATAATCTGCCCTGGTGGAGGACCTTTCCTGGCTCCTCTCACTAGCCTATCTCCACTCAACCAGTTGGGAATGCATCAAGGAGGTGTAGGAAATATCTGGCGGCCTTGTGGTCTGGTTTGAAAACCAATCTTGAATTTTGGTTTGGGGGGATATTATTAGCAAGTGTCAAATACCCTCCCCTCTGGGCCCCAGCACTTTTCTGATGATTTGATTGTAAAAAGACCAAGCACACAGAATTAAAGACGGTAACCCCATGGACTTGATTTTGTTGTATGTAGGAAAATGAAAATTAAAGAGAACTTTGGGCTGGAAAATAATTCCAGGCAGGAATTGGAGGCAGATTTTCTCTTATGGGCAGTTGGAGCTCCCAGTGAGAGAATTTAGGGGGGCTCATCCGTAGTCAGTCCATCTCCTGTCACATAGAGTTCAGTTTAATGATCCATCAACAAGCATTTCTTTAGCTCTTCTATGTGCCACGAACTGGAGATATAAAAGGCAACAATCTTACATTCCATTTGGGGAGACAGTATAGGAGGAGTTACAATGTAAACGCGCTACTCCAGCCTCATTCTCTGACACACTATCCTTCCTACCACAGGCCTTTAGAAAGGTGACCTCACTAAGATGGCTCCCCCTCACCCACAAGCAGCTTGCTTTGTTTGCTCTTTGCTCCACTAAGGAGCTGATTCTTTTCACTTCTTATTTTTTGATCCTTTATCCTTCCTGTTTCTGGTCAGTTTCATATTCTAGGTTAGGAGTGGTGAGAGAAGGCCCTGAGAGGTGGGTCCCTCCCTCACTACTTCTCCACCTCCGACTCCCAATAATGACCCAGAATCTGAGGTTGAAATTGAGTGAGGCTCAAGTTAAGGTTAATGCAATTTAAATGAGAAGAGAAGCAGGAAATTAGGAAGAATAGTCTGGGCGGAGGGTGAGTTGATGACATCCTGGATTAGTCGACTGGAAGGCAGAGGTACAGAAACAGGTGCAGAACAAATGATAGAGAGGTGTGGACTGGCAAAAGCCCTAAAAGAAGCATACAGAAAAACACATCATACCATGGAAAGCCTAGGAACTAGGATCCTGCTTTATTTCTTTATTTTAAGCCTAATCCCAGAAATCTCCTTTTCAATAACATTTGCCCCAACCCCTCTAGAGAGGCCCCTCCCTGCCATTCTGTCCTAGAGTCATCTGACAGATGACTCTGACATCAACACTTTTAGCCTTTCATTTTACAGATAAGGAAATGAGCCAAGAGAAGGTCAATGGCTTGCCCAAGGTCACATAGATAATCTCTGGAGAAGGGTGTTTTCACTCCCAATGGGGCAATTACCCCTTTCTTACAACATTTTAGAAAGCCTCCTTTGATCTGACCCTGCCTGTTGTAGACCCCACCACCTCTTATTCTGCCTTTTGGGGAACCAGGAACCCCACTGCTTCCCTTATAGAGAGAGGCCCCAGTCTAGGGCTACTAGTCCTCTGCATTCCCCCCTCCCCTCCTTCCCACCAAATATACACAAGCTCCTTCCAGCCCCAGGCCACATCCACATGGCTTGCTCCTTGTTTTCATCTATCAAGATCGACCATAAAGAGGGCAGCTAGGTGGCGTAGTGGATATAGCACCAGCCCAGAAGTCAGAAGGACCTGAGCTCAAATCCAGCCTCAGATCAAACACTTGACACTAGCTATGTGACCCTGGGCAAGTCACTTAGCCCCAAGTGCCCTAAAAAAAATATATATTGACCATAAAGCAGAGGTGCCCCCAGAGGAGCCAGTATCTAGTTGGTACTTGGGGCTTGGGGATAGCCCTCAGAGGAGCTGCTGGGAGACAGAAAGAGCTGTACCTAAGGGGCCAGGGCAGAATTTTCGATTTTGAATTGACTAAGAATGAACATAAGAATTTTGGAACTGGGTTTCAACACAGAAAAGAGGAAATTAAGCACCAAGAAAAGAAACACCAGTTATACGTCATTAATAGTACTGATTAACAAGTTGCAAAATCAGGTTATTGTTTAATGCACTTTTTGCCAAGAACTAGATAGAGATGAAGTCGGTTGGGACTATCTGGAAGTCATCTGCTTTACTCTGGGGCTTTGTCATTCAGTGGTATTCAATAAGGACTCCTGTCACACACCTTCAGAAAACAAGGGAGTCTCCTTTTGCTTCTCATATCTACTTAGATACTGCCATCTTCCTATTCCAGGACCCTTGCCACTTAAAGGCCTCCATGGTTCCAACCTCCCATGTTGTGATCTAGTAGATAATTCATACCTTCCTGATTGACTTCTGTTCTCCCAGCTTCAATGGCAGGTTCTCACTCACCTCCCTTCCCCCAAGAATCCACCACATGTTTTAGGAGGTAGGCATTCCTTTTCTGAGGGTCTTCAGGGAATAAAACAACATCTCAGAGCTCCTTTTACCCTCCTTCCCACCTTTCTTCTCTTTGGGTCATACAAGGGAAGTGGGGAGGAGAGAATGGAGGGGAAGACTATTCCCCAGAAGCTATTTGCTGCTCTCCTACCCCCTGTTTCTATCCCCACCCCCTAAACCCATCCTGCTCCAACTGGCACTTAAGAAAATTGCTGTTAGATAGGAAGCTAAGGACTCAGTTCCCCCTCCCCCCCCTTAATGTTCCTGGAGGATTTCATGCTTGGGCATTCCTGCTGGCAACAGGTTTCCTATAGTAACCCCAGTAATCCCCAGAGATGGAGATAGCCTAAACCTGCAGGTTGTTGTACCCATAGACAGTATGGTGGAAACAAATGAGCACTAAGTTTAGGGAAGATCCAGTTTTCCTAAGTTAGGATTTAAATGATGTGGGCAAGTTAGCTTCATCTATCTAGGTTTTCATTTGCATATCTAAAATGAGGGGATTGGACAAACCTCTACAACCTAACAACTGTAAATCCATGACCGTGGCATTGTCCAGTCATAGCTAATGTTCAAGGACAAGGGGAACACTCTACTTTTGGGGCTGGATTTTAGCTGTAGCTGCTGAAAAGAGTCCAAATTGAAGGGGTGGGGCGCTGCTAGTAGGGAGCCACAGTTGTCACCTGGAGCTGATCACAGACCTCGCTCTTTTGAGCTGGATCTACTGAGGGTTGCTTCATGGTGGGAAAAAGAGTACCACTGTAGGGAGAGGTCAGGAAGGGCCAAGTAGTCAAGAATACCTCCCTAGACAGAGCAGTGGTGCCAGTGGGTGACGTGGAGACACAGATATGGTAGAAAACAAAAAAGTTTATTCACAATTCTTCCCCTTCTTCCCTCCGCCCCCACCCCAACAACAAATGGGGACCTAGGTTTTCTTGGCACCCAACCCTGCCTTGGGCTTTGAACTCATCTACTCTACCCCAGATGGAAGTTAAGGATCAAAGATCAAATATACCAAGGTGTCATGGCCTGGCAGAGTTTGGGACAGCTCCTTCCCAGGCTTGGGTGCCAGGGTCTGGTGTCCTGTAGACAGGGAGGGAAATGTAATTTCTGTGGTGGAAGGTCTTCTTGTTTCTGTACCCCTCAATCCATGTTAGTGAGAGTGGTGGAAAGCCCACTGCCCTTATGGGTGTCCTCCACCTCCTGCTGTCTCCTCTTTTGAAGGGCTACTTGCTCTGGCTGGGCTTGTCCCCCACCAGGCAACTGTGCCCACAGCTGCCTCAGGGCCTTGCCCAGTGCCTGCCGGGACTCCTGGCGCAAGAAGCAGTAAATCACAGGATTGAGGCAGCTGTTACTGCGTGCCAGGCAGACAGTAAAGGGGAAGACATAGGTGTAAAGGGCATAGTAGGTGCTGTCCCAAGGCACGATGTCGAACTTCACTAGAACCCCCCAGAATATGACAACATGGTTAGGGAACCAGCAGAGGAAAAAGGACACAATAATAATCCGGATAGAGCGGGCCACCACCCTGTCCCTCTGCCTCAGCTGCTGCCGTCGAAGGAATGCCAGCAGCATCAGATAGCTCACTGCTATGACACTCAGAGGCATCACAAAGGCCAACATGACCTTCTGTAAGTGGTAAGCGCCCAGCCATCTAATACTAGGGAAGCGGAGCAGACACAATTGAACTCCTCCCACCTCACCTTTAACCCCAAAGATTGCTGTGGGGACTGCTGCTGCAGCTGCAGCCACCCACGCCACCAGGCTGATCCCAAAGGCTTGGGAGGATGAGAGGCAAGTTCCTGGTCCAACAGCCACGGCCACCATCCAGTATCGAACAATGCTGAGAGCAGTGGTGAGGAAGACGCTAGCATAAATGCTGAGTACAGTACCTGCCAGAACCACCTTGCAGAGAATGCCTCCAAAAGGCCAATGGAAATCCAAAGCATACTCAGCTGCCCAAAAGGGAAAAGTGAGTGCCAACCCGAGGTCAGCCAATGCCAAGCTGAAGATGAAGGTGTCGGTTGTTGGATGTGAGGCCCGTCGATTACACCCACCTAACACCCATAGCACAGCCAGGTTGCCCAGGAGGCCTATCACTCCCACCAGTCCAAAGACCAGGGCAACTATGATTCTAAGTGCCAGGTAATCAGCTGTTACTGCAGCATCATCCATGCTTAGCACTTCACCATTGGAGGCATTGGCCCAGAAGAACATAAGCATTAGGGTGGAAACATTGGGTGTGGACATCTTGAGGATATCAGCTATCTCGTGCCTGGGCAGCAGTGCCAGGTTAGATGACTGCCAGGTATGGGAGCTGGAGAGAGGTGGGACTGTCTCTCGAGGCAGGCAGCTCTGAATTTATGTTGTTTTTAACCACATCTGTCTATCTGCCAGCAGCCCGAGGCCACACCCACATCTTTAGGGGTGAGGTGTCAATGGGACACCACCCCTTCCCTGTTGGTCAAGGTTGGTGAGAGGTGGGGCAGGACAAAGTAGATGGCCTCCCTGCTACTACTCCAAGGGAATGCATTAGAATTTCTGTCCTCTTGGTGGAGGGAGGAGCTGGGAAAATAACTGGATAGGGATAGGGCAGGGAGAGGGAGTTCCAGAGGAAAAGGAAAACAGAGAAGGTGGAGGAGAGGGAAGTTCTGATCCCAGATTTTACTTCTGGGTTATGATAATACTACCTTGGCTTACCCCAGGCCTCTTTCCTGTGGATATGATGATGGTCCAAAGATAATTGGACTCCATCTGCCCCTAATATGGTGTCTAGTATCTTCCCCCTACCTTTGCCTGAAGGTGATTGAATGATTGATTGAGAGGGATTGGATTGGGGAAGAGGGGGTGTTTTAAGGATCATCTAGCAATTTTCCCAATGTCCAAGGAGCAGTACCCTCTCAGACACTGCCTGGCATTAGGCTGAGGAATTAGTGCTTTAGGGGAACAAGGAAGACTCGAGGCTCCCTTGCTGACCCACTCTGCTCTCAGTACTGCCTCAGTCTCTAGGTATCCCCCTTTACCGCAGACTCCCCCTCTTCTAGGTCTGTCTCTGTGGAGACAGAGCCCAGCAGTACCCAGTCCAACACATACAAACCATCGTGGTGAAAATGCTCTTTTCAGAACCTACCAACTGGAATGCCAAGCTTCTTTCCCACCTCCCCCGCCCCCACCCTGAAAAAGATAAGGGAAAAGTACCTGGGGGAAAGCCAGTGTTAGAATGGGGAGATAAGGAGCTGAGATTCCAGGGGAAAGGGTGAGGTCAATTTGTTCTCATAGACTTTCATCTACACCTTTCTAGCTCCCCTTCCTTGCCTCTTCTCCCATCACCCCCAACATAGATATTAATTAAGATAAAATTTGATGATTAGATCTCTGAAAGCTGGGGAGGAGAGGTTCAGGATAATAAATCTGGGATGGGCTACTCAGTGAGCCATTAAAGAACAGAGCCTGAGCTGCTGGTCAGACCTGGACTGGCCACCAAACACCTGAGTTTTTCAGCTGAGGGAGAGGAAGGGATGGGGTGGGATAAGAGGTGGTGGAGCTGGTGTTTTCATGCCCAGATTTTAGGAACCCTCTCTGCTGTCCTATAAGAAGGCTCTGAGACTTATCTGTGGAAATTTCTTTGTGCCAGTTACTTGGCCTTATGGACTATGTCAATTTCCCCTTTCCTTGTCACCACCAACCATGGAAGAAAGAGAAGTGATCCTCAGCACCTGAGTCACCCACCACTCATTCGTGCCACCTTGTGGATTCATAAGAAAATAATAATTCAGGAGCAACTAGGTGGTGCAGTGGATAGAGCACTGGCCCTGGAGTCAGGAGGACCTGAGTTCAAATCTAGTCTCAGACTACACTTGATACTTACTAGCTGTGTGACCCTGGGCAAGTCACTTAACTCCAATTGCCTCACCAAAAAAGCAAAAACAAAAAACAAAGAAAAAATAATAATTCAAATAGGAAGGCAATTCATGGGCCCCAATTACACATGTACTTTGGTCTAGTAGTAAAAGTACGTGTTGAATTGGTTTGCTAGGGGCCAGGGTTCCCTTCTGCCCTCTCTTCCAAAGGGCTTTTCCCTCATGTCATTTTCAAATGCCCATTTTCATCTGAAATTTAAATTTCTCGAGCTCAGGTTTTTTGGAGTTTTTTGTTTGTTTGTTTTTGTTTTTTAAGAGGCACTGCCACCCACTGGCTAGATTTACAAACTGCATGCCAGAGCAGAAATAAAATGTCTTAACATTCTAAAATTATAAGTACCTACTATGTAGGAGGTGTCGTGCTCCATACTGTAGGGGAACAAAGATGAATAAGACACAGTCTTTCCTCCATTTGGAATCATGGACTTTTATTGGGACCAGATCTGTGATTTTCACTGGTATGTTGTCATTCAGTCATTTTTCAGTCGGGTCAGACTCTTCATGACACCATTTGGGGTTTTCTTGGCAAAGATCCTGGAGTGGTTTGCCATTTCCTTCTCCAACTCATTTTACAGATGAGGAAACTGAGACAAACAGGGTTAAGTGACTTGCTCATAGTCACATAGCTAGTAAGCGTCTGGGGCCAGACTTGAACTTGGGAAGATGAGTCTTCCTGACTCCAGGCCCAGGGCTCTGTGCACTATGGTGCCACCTAGCTGCTCCCTTCACTGGCATAGGGAAAGCTTAATGTGAAAATCCCCTGTACCAATACAGAGAGGCATCAACTTTTCATCCTACAGTCCTCGAGAAATTGCCTAGAGCACTGAGAAATCAAACGGGCAACATATGTCAGAGACAGGACTTTCTAGGTCTTGTGCATTCCAAAGTCAGCTCCCTACCCACTCCACCATGCAGCCTCTTTTAGTGCTGGAAGGAGCCTTAAGAGGCCTCCTGGTCCAACAAGCTCATTTTAGAGATAAGAAAACGGAGGCACTGAAAAGGGGAATAGCTTGGTCAAGATAGTACAACTAGTTAAATGGCAGAGCTAAGACTAGAACCTCATGACTCCTGCTTCCCAATTCAGAATGCCTTCCATTACAATACAACACCCTTCTTTTCTCTCCTCCCAAGAATCTTCCCTTCTCTCTAGTGCTTGGAATGTCAGGAATCAGTGATAGGGAAGAGTAATATCACACCTGCTCTCAGGGAGCTAAAGTCAAGGGAAGAGCTATCCCTAGTATTCAGAGACGGCACTAGGTGGCGCCATAGTGCACAGAGCACTGGGCCTGGAGTCAGGAAGACTCATCTTCCTAAATTCAAATCTGGCCCCAGACACTCACTAGCTGGGTGACCCTGGGTGAGTCACTTAACCCTGTTTGCCTCAGTTTCTTCATCTTTAAATTGAGCTGGAGAAGGAAATGGCAAACCACTCCAGTGTCTTTGTCAAGAAAACCCAAAATGAGGTCACGAAGAATCAGACATGACTGAAAATGACTAAAAGTCTCATTCCACTCATTTTATAAATATGGAAACTAAAGCCCAGAGAAGAGAATTGACATGCTTAAGGTCATATATCAAGTTAACGAAAGAGTCTAGAAGAACCCAGGATTCCCAAGTCCCAGCTCAGGACCTCTTTATACCACATCATCTCTTGGTGAATCAGCATTTATTGAGTAAAAACTACCTAGCATTTGATCCATCCTTTTCTCAACATACCCACACTTCCCTCCAGTCCCCTATTATTAGCCCTACACATAAATTTTTGGGATGTAGGTTTCTGAAAGGAGAGGTGTTACACTGGCTGTCATCTCTATGGAGGGCAGAAAGAAGAGGAAAAGGCTAACATTTCAGCAGAAGGAGAAAGAATAGACAACAGAAAGGACTTCCCAAAGAGTCAGGTTGACACAAGAATTGGAGTAGGAATATATTTTTTCTCTCAAGATTTTGAAGAAGTTGAGACATATTTCTGGGCTCTGGGAGAAGCTGTTCTGGGGAAGAAAAACAAAACCCTTCCTCACCACCCACTCTCACATTAACTCTTTGCAATTTGGCTTCCTCCCCTGACTCTTCACTGAAACTGCTCTCTGAGAGATCACCAATGACCTCTTTATTTCTCAATCCACTGACCTTCCCTCAGTCCTCATCTTCCTGACTGCTCTACAGCATTTGACACTGTTGATCATTCTCCTTCGACTTTATGAGCATCATATGACATCTGTTTTCCTCGTCTGTTTCACCAGCTCCTTGGGTATAAAACCCACTCTTGGGGGGGGGGGGCTGGATAAAAAATCAAAGGAGACTGAGAAGTAGGAGTCAGACAGATAAGAGAACCAGAATAGAACACAGTCATGGAAACCTAGAGAGGCAACAATGGAAAGAGGATGCTAGACAAAGTCAAAGGCTGCAGAGAGGTCAACCTTTCTATGTTTCTACCTTTGCAACACCTTTCCTATATGCCCCCTTCTCTCCTGTATGTCCCCTTCTAACCTCTGACACAGCTGTCACTATGGCACACGTCCTTATCATCTCATGTTTGTACTATTGCAATAGCCTCCTAACTGTTCTCCCTACCTTGAGAATCTCTCCAATCCATCCTTTACTCAGCTGCCCAAAGAGAGCTTCCTAAAATGTAGGTCTGAATATGTAACTCTCCCACTCCAAAAACTTTAGTGGCTCCCTAATCCTTGAAGACCAAACATAAAATCCTCTGTTTGACATTTAAAGCTCTTCACAACCTGGCTCCTTCCTACTCTAAAGTCTTCTTACCCCTACTCTCTTCCATGTACTCTGTGATCTAGCACCATCAGCCTTCTGCATGTTCTTTCACCCATATACATGGGTATATAGGATAACAGACAAAAGATGGAAAAGATCTGCAAAGATGTTTATAACAAACTCTTTTTACAATTACGGATGGTGAAGCCACCACATTTGGCATATGAATATAGGGGCAAATGAACTTTAAAATAACCTTAAAAATCCAAAGAAACATTTTAAAATGTGTTTGAAGTGAAGAAGAATGAGAAAACAGCCAGCAGATGACTACAGTAAGCCGGCAGAGGCAATATAACTAGTTAAACAGAATGGTCAACGTTCATGTGGCGAAGGCTATCCCCTACATGTAGCATGTGTATCTCATTGTGTGGCTTGAAGGGAGGCAGAATAGACATTTCTAGCCTCTTCTTCCCCTATCCTTCTCCAAGGGAGACTTTCATTCCAGCCAGAGCGGGAAGGAAGGAGGTTGGGTCCAGAGACTTTTCTGCTGTCCTCAGAGAGAATGGCTACTGAGCTAAAATAATGTCACTCTGCTCCCTTAAATTGTTACACTAA